TAAAACACAACTATATATATATATAGTATATTTCATACATCCCCTAATCTCCTTTTTTATAGAGTAAATGACTATGCTTAAAAAGGAAATAATAATATAAAAAAAATAGGGAAATAAATATCTAAAGATATTTTAGATCTCTTAAATATCTGATATTTACAACAATACTTAATAGTTATAAGGTTGATAAGTCATAAAAGTAATCAAGAAATTGAAGATTAACAAATTTCATAAGATGATTCAGTTGTTATGGAATGCAACCAGCAAAAATAATAAATTATATGTCAATAATATCAGTATAATAACCAATCCATTCCATCAACACCAAAACCTAATAAAACAGCAGTTTCAAACTTCCCGTGTCTAGCCAACCCAAGTCTTTTAAAAAAAATTTGCAATACCTTTGAGTCTCCCATAAATGAATCAAAGACAGCTTTTGTTGCTAAGGTGACAGACAGTGGTATAATTCCACCAGTCATCAGCTTCCCAAAGCAAGCTATATCTGGAACACAATGGATTAGCTCCGCTGTAGTCTGTGAGAATATATACTGCTAATCAAAAAACAGAAGAATATGAAACAGTTTTGAAAAATAAGAGAATGGCGGTCATTGAGAGAAATCACCTCTACTCCCAAACGCCAAAAACCAGTAAAAACCTCATCAAATATTACTGGAATTTTTCTACTCCGACACTCACGAACAAGCACATGCTGAAAAAGTGGATCAATCATATGCATTCCACCGGCACCTTGTATAACTACATAACAGCTCAGGCCCCAAAGATGATCAATCTCAAGAAAAGGTGAAAATAAGTTAAATTATAATATGTACGAGGCCACAGAAACAATTTTAGGAAGAACATATATGAACCTAGAAAAACAAAACACTTTTGTATGGAAGACCAAGAACCACTCAAATGTAGTATTTCATTCACATTTCAACCAGCATTCTGGGCATAATTTAGATAAGGAGAGTGATGTGTGTAAAGTGAGAAACATTCTTTCTGTTTCTTGTACTGGACTAATATAGATCATTGCGATTACATTATTAGGATGCATAGGGAGAGAAAATACTAATATCTGAAAAAGAAAAAATCTCAATATCTTGCCTGGTTCCATGATCAATGCTCCGACCCTACTTGTCCCTCTAAATCCAGATAATACCTTTGATATGTATGATGAATAAACTGTAGCAAGCTCAGACTTATCCCTGCTCTTGTGAAATATTCCATCACGCGAGGCAAAAGCTGTGAAGACATCCACGAGTAAAACAATTATGTTCAAAACAGTAATCAATAAAAGAATTGAAGTTGGACATTTTGGACTTACTGATACTTTCACCTTTCAGACTTTCCCAACAATACCCTTCAGGTATAGAAATATTCCATGTCTTGTTGTGCATAAACACAGAGGGAGGATCCAGAAAAAGACCTCTCCCAGTGTACCTACAAAACAGAATTTAATCTTAGAAGGGTTTCACGAGTATTAACTAGATTTGGAATACTATGTTTGGATGGTAATAAGCAAAATATGCTCCAACAAACAATGATCGAAGACTTCAAGCTATTAATCAATAACAAAATTCACAAAACAAAATAGAACATAGATTCATTCAAGGCTTTCAAACAAAAGCATGCTTACTAAGCATGAAGAATAGAGTTTTAAACAAAGTAAATAAAACTGCCAATATGACTTATTCTCAACGAAAATTCACAAACCAAAACTGCTTTGTCAGTTTTGGTCTATCTTCCAACACCTTCTTGTCAGTATCCATCATATATTACTTTGATAAATATATAGTGCAAAATGACAATAGTCAAATGATTAAACAGATTAGTAAGATTCAGTTTCACAAATATGCAGTAGAGGGAAATGTCTATACCATGGTTGCTGCAGGAAGCCTGTATAAGAAGATGGTGCCTGTGCTTCCATAGCACCCAATGTGTCACCATGATAAGATCTCTGAAGAGCCAGAACCTGAAATAATGAAATCCATAAGCATTAAAAACATGTGAAGTTTATAGGATGAAATCCAATTAAAAAAAGGTTCAAATATTTTACATGTTCGAAGAACTAGTGAAAATACACAAACAACTACTTTGAAAATAAAGTTCATATGCTAACAAGTACCTTAGGATATTGGTTAAGGAATCAAAAGTAAAAAATTATTTATGGAAAAGTGTCACTAACATACCTTCACTATGATTTCCAATGCAACCCTAACATGAATTCCCATAAAACTTTTTATTTAATTAATTCCTTAACTAATGCCCTAAGGATATTTGTTAGCATGACCCTGTTGAAAAAACAAATTATTGGTAAAATGTTTATATTTTGGGAATAAATGATCACTAACTGGTTAAAAATGTTGGAAGGGTGACACTAATAAGTAACCACATAATGAATTAATCAACAACTTGGGTGCTTAATTGTTCCTAAACTGGAAATGTTCTTAAAAAAATATTTCCCTTTAAATTTTCAATAAAAAAAGAATCATCAGCAAATATCAATGCATATTATCCTCTTTTAGAAAGGCAATGCATAAAACAAAATGAAAAACAAATATGGGAGAACCAAATAAAAACCATAAAAACAATCTTATTTGATAACAAGACTAGGGAATGAGATAAGATTTTCAAAACAGATATTTTACTTAAAATACTAATAGAAAAATGCACACTTAAAAAGCTATAAATTAAATTTCCTAGCTGTATCTCAGCTTCATGCAATCACAAAATAATCAATCAAAATGAAATACTCCTGACACTTTAACATTGTGATTTTAGTTTTCAAACTGTTGCTTTGCTCTCCCCAAGCATAAAAAGGGCTTGACCAATATTCCCCCTTCTTTTACTTTTAACCACAAATTACACCATTGCTTTTGTAGAATATACCATCCTAACAAATTAAAATTGAACTTTATACACAATGAGACAAAAAACTATTGCAGATTAATTAAGGGACTGAAGGAGCCAACCATAAGCTCAGTGGATCTTTCATTTGGGGCATCCTCATGACAATCCACAATAAGTCCATGATCAACAGAAAATTTACGAAATGCCATCTTGAGAGCAATTTCAATTGCTGTAGATCCATTGTCTGAAAAATATGCTCGAGAAGCCCAGCCTGCACAACTAATGAGTCAGCTACTATGTGAACTGCAAACTGTCATAAAATAATAGTCAACACAAAATGTACAAATTCATAAATTAGGTGACAGATTTGCAAAATCATAAAGCTTGGATGGCAAAAAAGTACAATTAAGCCTTTAATTTAATAAGTCTTCTGATTTTACAAATTTCAACTAATAGTAACGTGTGTTAGAAAGAGTATTGCTAGCACTCCTCATACATTAAAATTTGAATACAATACTACAAATAACCATTTGGAAAATTCTTGCAAGTTATACAAATTTAGGCCAAGTCAAACTCAACTCCACAAAATTGACTTTTAAGGTGAGCATAGCCTAAACTCTATATGGACTACATTGGTCACATCTTTAGCCAATGTGGGATCTCAACACACTCCCTCACACCCCAAACTAGACCTTTAGAGTGTGGATAAATGTGGGTAGCCCAATAATAGCACCCCGTCATGCCTAGGAGTAGACAAATATGGGTGACCCAATAACAACTTTAGGATAGACATTGATATCAAATTAGAATTTGGACTTAGGATCTAACTCAACTACACAAAGCTGACTTTTAAGGTGTGAACTGTCCAAGTCTTATAAAATTACATTAGTCATATCTTTAGTCGATGTGAAATCTCATAAATTTTTACACATACGCACACATACATGCATATAGTGTGAAACAGTGAAAATAATAAACAGACATACTAACCTTTTCCCACACCTTGAAGCAAAAGCTCAGCACAATTTAAGGCTGGCTCATGAACATTCTCAGGGAACATTACATGCCCAAATCTTGCAGCAGCATATCCCATCTCCCTAGCAAGCTCAGTCTGAAATCACCTAAATGGAAAGATTGCATTAAAGGAAAATTTGAGAGGTGATATCATGAAGGGGCAACTGAGTTTAAATATGCCAAACAAGACCGGTATCCAATACCAATATATTAAAATTTTTGGCAGATCCATGTCATAAAGATTCGTTAAGCCTCCTTTTATTTGGGCTTCAAACTGACTATATAGAGTTCACGCATTAGAAATAAAAAAGATAGATAGAACACTTTTATAAGCATATCCAACAGTAAAAGAGTGGCATATTTTCATATCTGTCTCACTGTCCCTCAATCAAACAGCCAAATTTTTTTTGTCTATGGATATAGTCCACGCAGTGTCCTAGAGTTGACAACCAAGATTGATTATTACTAGTTTCTATAACGGAATTAAAAGCATAAAAAATATGAGGATGACCTGCATTGTAGCATCAGGTCCTTGAGTCCACCAACTAGCACAAGCATCAAATAATGGTGCTATGACTTCTGTCTTCTGAACCTTGAAAACAGAAAAAAAAAAAAAAATGTGATCTCTCGTCCGGGTATCAACATATAAAATATGTATCAAGTAGTTCCGTAAAACTCATGAATCTAATTCCAAAGTAAACACTAAATGCAGTATGCTTGACATAGTGCAGCCCACTAAGATTTGTATTGCAAAGCTTTAAGAATTAAAAAATAGTAATAAATAAAAAAAATTACTAGAAACAAACCTTGAAGACAGAAAAGTTCTCACCACAGCGCGAATCAATTACTGTGACTCCTCCATCAGGAACAAGTTTGTGTTGAGTGAAAGGCCACCAGATGATATCCCTTGCCTCTCTTGGCATGTCATGCAATTTTTTAATTCTCTCAAAATAAGCAGATAGCAGTATTTCCTTTAGATTACTAAATATACAATGAGAACTTTCAAACCATTCCAATAGGTCATTTGATGGATCTTTTGGAATAGATGGTAGCACTAAAACAGGGACCCTGCATGAAAACGGCAACAATAGTTTATAACCACATAGAGCAATAATTATCAGTTCTTCATGATACAATCAGAAAGGGAATATAATAACCAGTGTGATAAAACTTACTTGTTTCGCATATAAGACATCAGTGGACCCTCATTTAGAAGACCGTGATCTTCAAAAACAATAGCAACAACATCATAACCTCGAAACTTCAAGCTCTCATAAGCTGATATTGTTCCAGAAATACCTCCCAGCCGCCCATCTCCAACAAGAAGAGCAGGAATACGGAATGGCCTGACAGAAAACGGAAGAACAAACAGATTTAACCAAAAATTAAATAAACAGCATATATACGCCCCACATCAAAGTTTCATTATCCTCATCACCTGAATGATGCATATAACACATTTGCTTCCTTAGCCTAAATAATTAAACATTAGCAGTTAATCATAGAACTCCCGTGACTACCCTCAAGGATCAAATAGTGCATAATTGTTATCACTGAAAATTAAGAGGACTTCGTTTGATATTGCAACCACCAAACTCAACAATCATTGAGCCACTTCAATACACATCTACTCTTGTATTAAAAATCAAAATACAAAAATTAGAAAGGTGAAACTCTCATTTTTCTCGCTCGTTCAACAGTCATTTTCAACATCCCTCTTCTCTCTCTTCGGATCACTTTCATACAATATCCCGCAACTAGCCAAAAAAAAATCCTCAGTCATGAAAAACTGTCCTTTTTTATCTTTATTTATACACCAGATCTATTAACCATTTATCTCTTCAAATATACTCATTTATATTTCAGTTTCTAAATTAAACTTCAATAGTTTTTTGTCAATAACTAAAAAAAAAATATATCACAATTTAACTAATTCATTCTAAATGTAAAATATAATAATAATTTATAATTTATACATTAAAAATAACTATTTATTATTAAATTTAATTATATAAAATAGTTATTATCACATGTAGCAATAATCGACATGCTAAAATACTAGTCCTAGATTAAATTCATCATCAAAGTTGACTCCTCGCACAATTTGACTAAAGAAGAATATTGCAATACACACCTATACAAGTCACATTGAAGCGTCCCAGAAGGTCCAGGACTCGCAACACCACCAGCAGTCTCCACCACGCACAGAACCTCCGATCTCTCCTTACCAGCCCCGCGTGCCGCCACTTCTTCAAAACACCCACCCAGAGTTTTCAGCACCACCGAGTCCTTCACGGCCAAACCCTCCCTCTCGGCGGCCAAATGCGGCGACACGGCCTCTTCCCACGCGTACAGCGTCTTGCAGAGAAGCTCCGACGATCCGGCTCCTTCCTCGGCGGCGGCGAGCGGATTTAGCTCCGGCACGGCGGGGGAGACGTTGAGGACGCGGTGCGAAGCGGAGAGGGGAACGCGAGGGTTGCGGCGGAGGGAGAGCTGGCGGAGCTTGGTGAGGACGAAGCGGGAGTCGGAGTCGGAGGGGAAGCCAGTTTGGAGGGGCTTGAGGTAGTGGAACTGGGAGGGGGAGGAGAGGAGCGAGGCGGCGGCGATGCCTGCGGAGACTAGGGTTTTGCCGACGCCGGTGTTGGAGCCCCAGATGAGGTAGATAGGGTGGGAGAGCGGGAGGGTGAGGGAGTGCGAGGCGGCGGAGGAAAGTTTGCGGCGGTGGAGGAGGACGGAGGGGAAGCGGAACATGGCGAAGAAGTGGGAAGCGAGGGAAAGATTTTTGAAGCACAGCAAATGACAATTTGAAAACCGTCACTTACCCATCAACGGAACAAACAACCAAACAGTGTCACACTCAAGAAGTAAAGGTAAAGAACTACTTAGTAAGTTAGGTTGGTAGAGCGTGTTTACATCTTATTGTTTTTATATAAAGTTTCTGATAAATAAAAAATAAAAAAGGTGAATCATTCAAGTGAAGCAAACACATATAAGAAAGAAAGAGAAAAATACATGAATTAAAAGAAATGAAAAAAACTAGTGAGTTTTACAATTTTTTTATGTTACTTCTTCTTCTTCTTTTTTCTTATCAAGTACACCCGCTCGTTTTAATTTTCACCTACATTTTTATTTTATTTTATTTCTCCTTCGCTGAATAAATGGTAAAGGAGAGTTTAGTATAAAAGAAAATTTTCATGAATCCTAAAACAAATATAATTCCTAAATATTTATTTATATTTTTATATTTAATTACAATTAAAAAAATTCAAAACTTTGATTATTTACTGCATTAAATTAGTTAACAAGTGTAACATGATATATTCATTACAAGAAAATCATTCTCCTAATAAATTTTAATTTCAAGATGTGCATATCACATCTCATATTATTCATTGTATCCAAATCTTCTTTATCCACTACACTCTGACTTTTTTTTTATAGAAATTAACATCAATCATTTTAAGTACACTAAATATGAAATTTGTCTCTTTTTATTTTACTATATTTGTCATTAATCCTACACACAAAACAAAAATGTGAGAAATTATAATATCAATAAATACTACGTATTTTTATTGTGCTATTGCTCTCCAATGTTCATGATCTTAGCGTAGGATTTGTATAAATTTATATTTGATTAGAATTTAGAGATTAATATAATGAGTCAATATATTTTGACCTATTTTTATATTCTCAAATTAGTAAAGAGAAGTTTCTTAATTCACCTCATTATTTTTATAATTTTAGGTTGTCTTACCCATTTTATCATCCTTACTTCCAAATGTTTGTATCGTAGAGATTCATAGTACACTTTGAAATACATATATAAGGAAAATGTTTACTTTAAGTGTAGATTATGAGGTTATCTTGTAAAAAAATTTAACAATCCTCTATGGGTGGAGATAACCTCTATATATTTTGTTGTAATATATCATTAATGTATTTATCATTATATTGAGTGAAACTTAAATCACCGTGATTTGTCACTATGATTATCATCTTTTTTTATAAAGATTTTTTTCTAGTTGGGAACCCTAATATCCAAATTGTTCAAACCGTAATCGATTTTATCATATTACTATGTTTTATCCTTAACTCACTTCATTTTCATAAGTTACCATTAGTTGTGTTTAAAGTGCTAAATTCCAAGTTAATTTAACATTTCAATTCTATCGACATTATTCTTTGGATTATAAATTCTCACATAATATATTTTATCGCAACTAATGAAGGTGTGAGATGTTCAAAAAATTTTGTTTATTATCTTTTACTATTTGTCTTATTTGTTATTGTTTTTCTATTGAAATTATCATTAATTCCTTTGTTTACACATTTAACTATCCTTTTTTAGATGATAACCTAAAGTTATAGGTGACTGTGGCCTCACTTATTTTTTTCATTGTCACGAATCATTATGGTTCACTTAAATTGTGTAGATTATTGTCTTTTCAAAGCTAACTATGATTCTATATTGATTTGGTTGTCTGTCACTTTTTTGTGAACCAAATTGATTCCCTTTCATTTTCATTGTAGTACTTCTTAAGATCAATTGTTGTGACCATTATTTTATTTTATTTAGTAACAATGTGTGACACATTGATTGATTACTTTAACTAATCAATGTTATTGTGCTTGAAGTAACATATTTTCTTAGTACAAGTCACTTTTTTCTAACAATTTTAAGGTTTGTGTTGTTTTAATCATCCACCTTACTTGAATGAAGTGGACTTGTTATTTCAACCATCTCTCAATGGATCTTAATTAGTAGAATATTGAGCTTAATTTTTAATTTTTTTTTGTCAATTGGGTGCTAGCTTATTTAATGAAGAAGGTAAAAAGGTCTACACTTATGTTTTCCTCTAAAATCAATAATGTGTATTATTCAAAGTTCTAGGTAGTGACAAGGAATTCCATGTTCCTTAAAAGGACACGATGTATGTTTCTCACTTGGAGACAAAATATTTTAGGGTTGGTTTCATAAATAACTTAACTCTAGTGATGTCACTTTAAGTATTGTTAACATAGCTAGTCGAAAATCATGGAGAAAAATTAAACTTTTAACACAAACATTTACAAAGGCCTGCATGTTAAAGTTGACATAAATTGAGTTAGTTTAAGATGATAATTAAAATCCAAACTAGATATGAATTTCCACTAGACAATCAAAGACATGAGAAAGGATAAGTACTTGTAAGAAAATGTCATAATTATTATTTTATTTAGTGTGGATTAGATGCCTAATGATCTAACTTTGGATGAATAGTCTAGTATAATCCAATAATTGATAAAGTATAATGTATACCGAATATTATATCTAATTTTGTGGAGGTTATTATTCTCTCCTTCACAATCTTTGGCTTCACAACCTTTGATGTAAGGAAAAATTGTGATTATCATTCATTTTTATGCTTTATGTTTTATTTCTTTAAGTTTTTTTTTTAAGGAGAAAAACTCTTGATTAATTATTAAATTGAGGTGGGGGGAGGGTTGAGAGAGGTTTTAGGCCACCCAACACTTATTTAAATAGTATTTGATTTGTTGTTGTTGTTTTTTTTAAAAAGAATGTAATTGTTAAAAATTGTTTCCCTTTAATTTGTTTCGATTGAGATGAAATTATATTTCTTAAAAATTTTATTTTATTTTTTTGGAAAATGATGATGTTTTTTATATTGAAAACTAAAGATTAATTCAAAATTTTACTATTTTGATTTTGCTCTTGATAAACATGTTTAGGTTAATTGAGATGCTTAATTTAAACTTGACTAATTTGCGGTGAAACCTATTATTGCCTAATTTTTTTTAAAGAATATTATTGGCAAAATTTGAAATTTGGTGTTGAGGAAAATTGAGTCCTTATTATGAAATACTTAATCGATAGAAACTTTAATAAAATAAACTAAAATTATATTAATGTTTTAACCTCAAAATACAAATTTAAGTAGAAGTTACGGTAAATATTTTTTTTTATTATTATAAATTTAAAACATGTTTGGACAAATTTTTAAATAAATAGATAAAATAGAAATAAAAATAATTTTTCTATACACTAAAATTAATTATACATTAAAAATAAGTTTTTTAGAAGCTGATGGAATAACACTAAGGTCAAGAAGACCAAGAGGTGATATATTGAAGGAGGCAAGAGGAATGAGTTAGTGTTGAAAAACCATAGGATGAGTGAGCCTACTTTTGGGCCGTAACTCGTAAGTTTTTATTAGCATAGCATTTATGCCTATTTTGCCCTTATCTTTAATTTTCCCATTTTTTACCCTTGTATTTTGGGGTATTTTAGTCATACCATTTATTTTTACTTGTATTTCTCATTTTACCCTTGTATTATGGGGTGTCTTAGATTATATGATTTTATTTTATAGCTATGGTATTTTATTAGGATTAGGAAAAAGCCCTAGACGTATTTTTTGGTAGTCTTGGAATTATTTTTGGACTTAGTAAGGCTTAGGCCCAAGTGGAGGGCACCTAGGTTGCATGGTCTTATCATGCACCTAGTTGTAGCTTAGCCAAACCCAAAGATTCCATCCTTGGCCACCAAGTAACATCTAGGGTTAATTTAGGTTTCATTTGAAGTGCATTTGGCATTGCATTTTCAGCCAATACACTCTCAAATGCAACCCTAAATGCTCCCTCCCTTTTATAAATGCCATAGGCTATGCATCATGTAAATACTTTGGAAATTATAATATTGAGTGAGCCGTTTGTGCCTTAATATTTTCCTTAGTCCCCTTGACTATTTTTGGCCACCACACTACCATTTCCACCTTGAGAGAAACAACCCTAGAAGTGGCCTTCATCATCATGAAGTGAGTCAACCCTAGAGTACCCTCCTCAAGCATTTCCTCAAACACCTTCTACCCAACCTCCAAACACTTCCATTTTCGCCCCATTCCTCCATTAAAATGTCCCTTGAGGAACTTTGATCCAAGGAGTTCAAGCATCCCTTGCCATTGTTCAACATTCGTTCTTCAATGGAAGCAAGGATGCCATCATGTGGTATCTAGAGCCTTAGTTCTTCAAGGGTAACATTTTTCCTTGTCTTTTGTATTTTCGGTCATGTCTAATTTGATTCTTTTTTGTTTGTCTTCTAAGTTGTGCGTGATTGAGTCGTCATCTTGCCATATGTCATGATTTATATTCCTTCTTTCATGTATTGATTCATGCCTCGTCATTCTTGTGAATCATCTTGGTGCTTTAGGCTTCCTTGCTAGAGTTCCTACCATTTTTTTCTTTAAATTTGAGTTGCTGAAAATTTTTGGGCTGCATGATATAATGATGTTTTTTTTTTATTTTATAATCCATCCGATTTTGTCATAAACTTGTCTCCTTTGAACTACCTTGAAAGAAATTCCAAGTTTTTTATGCTTAACCATTGAAATGAGTCAAAACATGACATACATGCCACTTGTTTGGTGAAATGGTCGTGAGTCTTTGATGTGCTTTAGAGAGTCAATCATGCATGCTAATTAGTTCTAGCATGTTCTACATTCCTAAAATATCATGTGTGATTAATTTCTTTGCACATACTTACTATAAAAAAATTCAATCATTTTGTGTATTTCTTGGTACACTTGATATGTCTATGTATTGTTTGATGTTTTGAGTATGAAAATGACTTTTATGTGCACATTCTTGTTGCTGGACATTGCACATTAAAAACCTTAAGAAAACACTCAAAACTTGTCTCATTAAGCCATAAGTTGCTAAGAGGATACTCCAAGGACTTTCTCATCAAACTAACAAGACACAAGTGTAAAACCCAAGCAAAGGAGACCTATAAATTTTTTTAAAAAAAGAGAGAATTAGCTGGACTTTTGGACCTCAAAACCGTGACCTAACCTAGTCAAGTATAAAAAGGAACAAAAAAAAATCAAAAAGA